AAAAAATTCATATAAAAAAAATATTAACTGTTAATTGTAATGTATAGAAGAGTAATAAGAAAGAATCATTAAACGAAAGTCATTTTCTGTGGCGGAAATCAAGAGTATTTTATGAAGATACCCAAAAAAGATCGATGAAAAATGAATAAATAGTTAATATCATAAGAACAATATGATCCACTGAAGTAACAAATGTATCACATGAGTGGTCTATTATCTTAAGTTCACTGCAAGCTCGTGGTGGTACTTACACAGATTCCACATTTGCTTCAACTCATTAAAGAAAGCTACACCTTGCTCATCCAAATCAAGCTCGATGCTTATATCGGAACAACAGACCGAGTCGTGTTTTGATATGTTTCTAACTTGTGGGGCCAGTCTGTTCTGGCCAGGTGGTGTCATTGTTGATCTTTCCGTCCTGTCAGTCCTCAAGTTTCTATAATAGGGACGGCCCCTGCCTCTTACTCTTCCGGGGTGGTGAAACATTGCTTTATCTTCGAGAAGAAAATGCCTGAAATACAATAAGGGGGCGGTGGTATTGATGAAAATGATAACATATTGGAACTATACACAAATGATTTGAAGAGAATGACACAAGATAAGATAGAAATGACAGTGATAACCTACGTAATTTTATTGATTCTTCTTGCGCAAATTAAGGGTGTTTCATAGTATTGATTGATATTTTGGTGGTATTTTTCACATTCTTTCGAGAAACCAAAATAAAATAAGAAATCCTCAAGCTTTGCTTTTATTTTTTTTTCAAATGACGAGTTGTCAAGTCAAAAGTCAAAAAGTAAAACCGTGAAACGTCATCTATTTGAAAGTGTGAAGTTGTTCGTTGTTTTTGTTTCAACCTCTCCTATTTTTGGCGCTTTCTTTTATTGTTCCGAATTGTAGTTTCTAAGAAAAATATCGCCAAAATGGTGCTTCCAAATAATATCACAGAAAGTGAAATTAAAATGTTCCTCCTTCAGACCATAGCAAAGCACTAAACTCACTGAACTGAAAATTTGTTCCGAAAAGGGAAAACTGTTTTCAATAGATAGAATGGCGACCTAGTTCCAACTGCCGCGAGACATTCGTATGACTCGACTATTCTAAAAGCAGCGGCCAATAGTCCGAAGTAGAATATGAACGGAAGAGAAGAGAGAAGATAGAAGATGAAGACCCGTTAACCTATATCGACATTAAGTTATTTCATGATAAAAGTCATTAAAGGACAAAAATAGTACAATACAAATAAAATGTGGAATCTAACATAAATGTGTTCGGACAACGTATTTTTCTAACTTTTCATTTCATTTTGTTTAATTTTATTCGCGTGCTCGTAGTCTTTGGAGGATGGTTATCTGCTACAAGACTCGTCAGCTTATGAAAACTAGCAAATATGTTACCTCATCTCCAGGACTTTATTTTTCTACTTACATGCCTTTTCGTAAAAAATTGTTTTCGGTAATGAAAAGAGATACCAAAGAGATAGGCCCCTTAAGCTGTGATTGCAGGAGGTTTCATTCTACTGATTATTTTCAAACTAGGAAAGAGACCAGGGCTGCTAAGTTATCGCCACAAGAGGTAAGTTTTCAAACTTGTAAGGAGAAAAAGAACTAGCTAATATGTTCAATGAGAATTTTACTAAACCGTTGATTGAAAACAGGTTCTATGATCTAAATTTCCTTACACAAAATATGTCAAAGTTATCTTCAGTTTGTGAGAGTGATGTCTTGGAGCTCATTTCTCAATTGAAAAATTCCAATGCTTCTGGTCATGATTTTATCTCTTAATAACTTGCTGAAAAGTTGCCGTTTTGAACTATGTCATCCCCTGACATATTTAATAAATCTGTCTTCTGTAAATGGAATTTTTCCAGCAAATTTGAAGCTTGCAACAGTATGCCCATTATTTAAAAAAGGTGATGTGAATGACCTAGACAATCATAGAGCAATAAGTCTACTGTCAAGTCTCTCCAAGCCATTCGAGTTGAATCTAAAACAACAGTTGACTATGTTTTACTAACAAAACAAACTATTGTCATCCTCACAGCATGGTTTCACTAAATCCAAGAGTACAGAGTTAGGCCTATGTGAATTTCAGTCGAGAATTCATTCTAGAAGATTGAGTTTCAAACTCTTCTCTTCTAAATGTAACACGTCGTATTCATGATTGAATATCATACATTAACTAAGACTTTGTTCTGAATGAATATGTAATAGTGTATCCTACATAGAATATGTGCTATATATTTTTTGTGACTTTCTGTTATTTCGTTAAAAATAGAATAATTTATTTTCATTTTTATGTATTATGTGTAGATAAAGTAAATTAATTATGTTTACATTAAGCTTGCCTATCTGGAAATTAAGTTCTTCTTCTTCGTCTTGATTTTAATGTGATTCTTATGAAAATAATGCACTACTGCAACACTTTCTTGAATAATAAATATCATAGAGACAAGCGAGTAGCCCTTGAATGTTTTTCTTGTTTGTTATAAACAGGAACACCAAAAAATTCATTGATTAATTGATTTTCTGATGATGGTGGAGTTTACATTGAAACATTCATTATTGATGTTTATAATTTAAGATCTTTAGTAATAAACTGCCCAGGGACTTTGAGAGTTTAGACTTCACAAAATTCAAAGTGGAAACGAGAAAACAAGTCCCATTTTGTACACTATCTTTTGAAGGTTAGGATTAACTGAAAATAATATGATATGAATAAATGCCACTCTATATATTCAAGACACATATTTCGTATGGTTTATTCAAATAAATTCTCACCTGACACCTACTGAACACATGATCCTTGGTTATTATAACCTTATAATAGTTTATCACTTCTCTGAGTTGTTCTTCAACATCGTCGCTAATGATCCTGAGACAGTGTCCAGAAGGAACATAACCACGCAACTGAAACAGATTGACACTGCAGGCACTCAAAACCTACTAGGCAAATATTTGAAAAAAAAATCGCACATACACCTTATTTGATTTTTTTTCAGTTATCAATTCAATAACTACCAAAAAAACATTGGTTCTAACCTCGTTCTCGAACTCATCCTCACACTAATAATTTGATTCAATTACATCTGAGATACCCACCGTTTTGAACGTCTCAAACCCCTTCGTCAAAATATATCTATTGTGGTCCATAGCGTACTTTGCGCAATCCGTGTGATGCTGATTGTTCTCCAAAATGGCTGTATCGATGCCGCAGCTCCTCAACTTCTTCCCCAAACCTTGCAGCATAGTATCACAGACGACTTTGAGTTCTTCCGCGGCAACAGGATGCTCGTGAGGACTCGCAGCTTGGGAGTACTCTTGTTTCGGAGAAGAAAGTTTCTGGAAGGAATTATTCGTCAAGCGTTACTGATAATCAATCAGAAAACGAAACATACATTTTTATTGGTGAACTTCTTGGGCTTCTTCTTGGCTGCCTTCTCGTTCGTCATAAGGTTGTAGCAGGTTTCTTCGAACGGGAAGCCAGCATTATCACAGCACTTATGCAACACGTCGTAGACCTCAATGAGGCAAAACGCGTCGAGGGCGGCATAAGAAATTTGGCTCTCGCGCAGAGGACGTTTCTCCCAATTGGAGAACTGGTCGGACTTGTCGAGCGGCCTTCCCAGGCAATGGTGCACCAGAGTGCACAAACTGGAGCCGCCTTTTTGTACTGAAACATTCAGGTGATAATACTTCATTTTCAGACAATAAGAATTGTGTAGCGAGCGTTAATACAAATAAAAGGAGACAAACTCGTAATCTA